TGGGTCAACACACCTGAATCACATGATTAGCTCATTACCAAGTCTCTGGAGAACCTTAAGACATGTTGAGAAGGTAATTTATCCATTTAAATCAGCTGTGATGGATCAAGGACACATCTAAAACCTGCAGGGACACCGGCCCTCGTGGACTGAGATTGGGGACCCCTGCTTTAAGCCATGCAGAGCCATGTTGAGGTGGCATTTGGAAGCCAAAGCAACATCTTGAACCTCAAACTTTTGTGTGGCAGTACACATTGTTCTGCTGAATGGGGCTGAAGATACAGTTGACTTTACGAGGTGCACGTATCCTGCAGTGTTGCTTTGGTTTTGGTACATGTCAGTGTAACATTCGCATTAATGGCAGGACCAAACATTTCCCTCTTATCAAAGGTGCTCAGGCCCTTTTGCTCATTTTCCTCCCTCCTCCTGCTCAACACATCCATTTCAAAATGTAATAGATCTGTTTCTTCCTAATATATTTCACCCCTTTACAGGTGCCATGGTAACAAGATGATTTATATTATTATTCACTTTACCTGTCAGTGCTTTTAATGTTGTGGCTGAATTGTGCACCTCTCAAATAACCTTTTTGACTATTCGTCAAATTTTTTGCCTTCTTTAGACTTCAGGGTTAAAAATTGTTACTGAAGTACACGATGCAGTGAATGAACAGAAGCTTTTGAGCTTTTTTTGAATAAACAGTGCCTAAGTGCTCAAGCTTTATAGTTCTTCTAGGATTGTCTCGCCATCTTCTGTCTATTCATGCAGTCCTCGTCTCAATGCGTGATCTTGAGATGACGGGTTCGTATGAGAGTGGGCTTCTTCTTTTTGTGGCTGAAATGAGTAAACATTTAAAAGGGACTAATATGATTCCCGGCACTGTTCTGTCTGTAGTCAGTCTGTCAGTTTGAGATGTGTAACAGATTATTTTCAGATGATTCAGAAGATGACTGATGATTGTTTTTTGATTCACCACATGGGCTTTAGTGGCTCCGTAATTCATTTACATCTAAATGAAAGAGATGTCGTTACACAGCAAAAATCAGGCTTCATGTTATACTTCCAAGATTACTGTAAGTTCTCTCGAGATGATGACTCATCGAGCCATTAAGTCAGTCGTTTCCCACAGTTTGCTGATTGGTTGAGTTTAAAGCTCGGGGGCACAGATGAGTCACAGTGAATGTTTGTGACCCCATTTACACCTGCTATTAACAGGCAGTCTGTGTCTGCACGTCTTATCAGGACAAGGTAAGAAGGCATTTAATTCAGGTGTAAATGCAAATGTAAAATGTGATGACATTGGCCAAACCAGGTCTGGAGATGGTCACAGCTTGAGCTGTAATTGGATCTTGTAATGTAATTGAATTCTGTCCAGTGTGGTCACTATTTAAAGAAATAAAAACATCAAAACATTTGATGAAATCAAACATATGTTGGAAAGCCGAGAATTATGATTAATACCAAATGTAGCTGCAGGTTATATGTTGAAATCAGATGTACATGGGGTCATGTACTAATGTGAAGGGGACGAATATGAAGCAAAATCTAAGCTCATGTGATGCTATTAGGTTGTATTTTGGCAGATTTTAAATCTTTTTAGGTTAAAGGGATGCACAGAGGAGGAAAGATTTTGAATATTAGAGACAGGATTTGCTGTTCCTCTTCCCAGAAGACAGTGAGTGTCTGCTCTAGGGCTTAATTACTGAGCATAAGCAGCATGGATTTTTAAACATGCTAAAAGGTACCGCCATCAGATTTTCAAAGTGGTGGAGAACTCCTGTGTCCCAGCTTTTCCTCACAAGGAGGTTACAGAAAACACTGTTGTACTGATGTTCTCCTGCACATTAGAGAGTTTGATTTCTGGTTAAGGTTTCATAATGAGATCGAGCTCATTCGGAGTATTTTTCACGGCCACTTACCCCCATCAGATATCGTGCAGTTATATCAATATAGCCTCAAGTCCATTAAAGGTGATTTTCCACTTGATTTCCCAGCAGTTAATTATATTTCAGCCCGAGTGTGCGGAGTAATCAATTGAACGTAGAATGAAAAGAACAACTAATATCTACTGAAGTTTTACTCGTGTAATTCTTCGTTTTTTATGTGTTTCAACATTTAATTATTTATGTTTGATTTTTGCTCTTGTTGTGACACTTGCTTGTGAGCTTGTGAAAAAAGAAAGTGCGACTTGTGTTTTTTGCATTCAGTGTATACTTGCATACATGTGTGTCTGCCAAGCTGGGCTGTAATCACATGAGTGCTCAGATGCCAGGAATAACAATAATAATAGCAGCATTTAAACTACCAGCAGCTGAATTTTAATCATCTATTAATTTTTCCATTTCACACCTCTCTTGGCATTTTGTTCTTGTTAACATTTGGACTGACACAACATGCTGAAATGCTCACACATTCTAGTGCCTTTTTTTGGTAACTATTCTTAACAGCTCTTAAAGGCACAACAAAGTTATCTTTCTGTGTTTTCTAACTTAAATGTGCACCTACGAATCAGAACCAGAATACTTTATTAATCCCAGAGGAAATTATGTGGTTACAGCTGCTCAAAGACAGTAAGGACAGAAGTACCAACAGTATTAAATAATACAGTCACTGTCACAAATAGCTCTAATGTATAAAATATCTCCAAATCATACACAGAAGAGATAAAAAAATATCACACTGACAGGTATTTTCATGCGAAGATGTACAGATGTTGTTAATTAACTTTGTTTTTGTATTTTTATATTTTATAATTCTTTATAAAAAGTGTTTAGAGAGATCATTTGTTCTGAAAGAAACAAATAGATATTTACTAAACAGTTTGTCATATACATAGATCTGTACTGTATGTACTCTATCTTCTCCTGAACGGGCAGGAAATCTGAATGAAACTTTGCAGGAACAATGTCACACATACTGCAATTATCTAGATCTATACGTTTAAAAAAGATATTCTAAATGGCAATTCTTTGGCTTTTTGACATGTTACATTCATTTCTCCACAAATGCGATGTTACCTTCTCTGTTTGCGTTTCTTTCACGTGTCAGATTCAACATATGTTACACTTTTACAGATTTCCCCTTACATTTGTTATATTTAGTAATTTATGAGTCCTTACTTACGCAGTTTAAAAATAAACTATTTTCACTGTCACAACACTGTAAACTTTTGTTTCCATTCTTTTTTTTTTTGTCCCGTTTGGATCTTTAGCCATCAGAATTGTTGTCTTAAGGCCAAGAAAGATGCCAAGCGGATTTATTTTACCAAGTGGATCATCATGGCCTTGCCATATTGGTTTGATTGACCTTTATTATAATGATGTATTTATTTTATTTTGTTTACATTCTTGCCCAACTGCTTGGCTCAGCTGGTTGTTGTGTTTGTGGCATTGCAAAGATACACTGCCAACAGAGGAGCTGCAGAGTCCCCTCTGGTGAACAAATGAGCAATAACAACAATCATAAGTGTTGAGTAGAAATTTTAAAATGTTTATTTAGCTGCCGTCACAAATGATGATACCAATATATAATTGCAAATAGCTAATACTAGCTGATATATTGGTAGCACCCATAGATCAGTTGGACCAGTCAGATATTGTGATATTACTTTTTTGGTAAAGGTAAGAAAAAAAGTTAAATGAATCGATTCATGTTTTATAGTTTCTGTTTCAATTCAACTCATTACTTGCAGTATTACATTATGATTTCAATAACCTGTTAACAGTGAACAGCATATTGATGACATGTGCATAAATATGCAGTAAACACTGAGTGGAAACGGTTGCAGGGTTTTCAGACTATTTTCTTTTTCTATTTCAGCTGAAACATGGCGTGAGGGTTGAATTACTGGTAATTAATTCACAGCCCAGTGTCACAGCCAGCCTTAAACCTCCCCCTCAGCATGTTTTTGTGGTTGTTTGCATTGGCTGGCCAACTGTGTCCACTGTCAGAGTGAATGATGTATTATATTGTGGATCATTCAGTAAGTGTCTGGAGCTGTGCTGCGTGTTAGTTCAGGTGTCTCTTGTCCTCCGGCCTCTCACCGCCGGTCGCTGATGGATTCGATGAGATCCCTGCTAGGTGGAGTTTTGTGTTGCTGCCTTTCAAATAGTAGACAACAGTGAGCTGGGAGAGGGGGTGGGGTGTGGGGGAGACAGGCAGAGAGGAAATCAATGGCACGTAAATTTCCAGAGGACACAGTCAAAGCCTCTCTGCCCCTCTTTGCCTAATTGACATTTTTGCTGCTGCTTTTCAGTAATAACAGGCTAGAAGAATGGATGTATGCTTACTGAGGACGGTGTTTGGGCGGCTTAAGGTGTAATGTGAAAGGAGAAAGGCAGAAATTATTTTAGCCTCATTTCATCCTCGTGTTGATGCATCCTATGGCTGAAGCAGGCGGGAAGTATTTTTAGTTGTATTTTAACGCAGGTTTCAAATGTTGTCAAGCCATGCCAAAGCATGGTGAGATGTAGGTGCTGCCAACACATCCTTACACATACTTGCTTACACACAAATGCATGACTTTTAAGGCTCTAATAAGAGCCTTAAAAGTCATAACCAGCCATGTGTATATATAT